CTTTAGTGCAGAAATCGGCACAGGTAGGCGAAATGTTTTTATAATTGCCACTAGGAAAATGAGAGGGCCCAGGGGGGATTTTGCTGCCCAAGGGAGCCCCTCCCTAGTTATAGCTTAATTTGTTGTGTGTATGTGGACCAGATGGGTGGAATTAAACCTTCTAAGGTGTTGTGGTTAGATTGTTTTAAAACATCCGGAGACTCCAAGGAATGTGAGAAGTTATATTTCTTTTTCAAAGGACCATCCTTCTGTGGTTCAACTGTGGGTTCTGGAAACAGAAACTATAATGCCTGTGGCTATAGGGTGGGGTCTGTTTTCCTTTTTCCCCTATTGGGATATATATGAAGGCTATGAATTTCTTAATTAATATGTTGGTGTTTTGGTAAACACGGCTCAAAGGTAGCAAGATAGGGGAGAAAAGCTAATTAGTCATTGAAGAAAGTCCTTGCTTTCTACATATCTGTGTACCCTGAAGAACTGGCCTTCCCAGTCCTCCTGTTACAGTCATTCAGAGCATTCATACAGCCGTCTGCCTGTGGTGTTGTGGAAATAAGCTACAGAAAAATCTCAGGAGGCTGCTTAAGTGGGTTGAGGGCAAAAAAAAATTATAGTCGAGAGGAAAGTAGTATATATAAGGTGAAAGAGAACAAAATATTTATCTAAAATGAACTCTGAAATAGAAGAAATACAAACATTGTGTGACATTGTTCCCTGAAGTCAGCCCAAATGCAGTTTTTTATCCATTGTAGGTACTGAATTATCTTGAAACTAAATGTGCTCCAGTGGTAAAGGAAGTTAAAAAGATAAGCCCTTCATTCACCCAGGGGAAAGAGAAAAGCATATCTACACTTGAAACACAACGTGTTGCTCTTTTTGCTTAGCTTCAAGAAAAGTCTAATGAGATTGGAGCCAGTCAAGAAAACAGCTGAAATAATCAAAATTAGGGCTTCTATATCCCTTCCATCAGGACCTACTTAAATGGCAATTTCTGCGATCTAGACAGTAGAAGGATTATGTTATTGGTAAATTGTGTCCCCTTAGAATTCATATATTGAAGCCCTGATTCTCAGTAGCTCAGAATGAGACTACATTTGGAAATAGGGCCTTTAAAAAAGGTCCGCAATTAAGTAATATGGGGTCATTAGGATGGGCGCTCTTTCAATGTGACTTGTGTTCTTATAAGAAGAGATTAGAACACAGAGATGGACACCAGACACATGTACACACAGAGATGACCATGTGAATGACACAGGGAGAAGATAACCACCTGCAAGCCAAAGAGAGAGGCCTCAGAAGAAACCACCCTGCCAATACCTCGATCTCAGACTTCTAACCTCCAGAACTGTGAGAAAATAAATTTCTGTTGTTTAAGTCACTCAGCTCATGGTATTTTGTTATGGCAGGCCTAGCAAACGAATACAGCTGAGAACAGATATGGACAAACGATTAAAAACGATGAAGGGTCTAGAAAAGGATGTGATTATGTCAGGATACCTTCAGGCCAGGGTTTCTTAAAGCAGGGTCTGCATACTACCTGTATCAGAAACATCTATGATGTTTTATTCAAAAGCAGGTCCCCAGGCACTTCTGGACCTAGAGTATTAAAACTTTCTGGTATGAGGCCCAAGACTCTATCTTTTCAGTAGACACCCAAAGTGATGTTTTGTTTTAGTTTTTTTATCCTCACCCGAGGACATTTTTGCATTTATCTTCAGATAGAGCGGGAAGGAGAGAGGAAGAGAGAGAGAGAAACATCAATGTGAGAGAGACACATGGACTGGCTGCCACCCACACAACCCCATGGGGCCAGGGACACACTGCAACCGAGGTACGCACCCCTAGTGGGAACCGAACCCGGGACTCTCTCATCTGCGGGCCAATGTTCTAACCGCTGAGCCAAACCGGCCAGGGCCGAAGTGATGTTTTTTGCACATTAAAGTGTGATTGAGACTCACTGTGCAAGGTCCTGCCCAACCTCTGGCTCTTTTCTGGACCTAGCTGGCAGGTACTAATTACATCTCAGCAAGTGCTGGTGTACCTGGTACTCTGGCAGGTGCTCTGTGGTCCAGGAATCAGGTGTACATTCCATTGTAGGTTATATCTCTCCATGTGTCAGTCAGTGTTTACCAGCATGTGGGGAATGCTGAATGGTATGGACCAAATGGAATCCTTAGTGGAGTTTATTCTTGATTCTCAGAAGAAATATATGCCTCACCTATCTTGTTTAAGAATATAATGACATATTTTGAACAACAATCTACAGTACATATATTATTTCACTCATGAGATTTATTTAAAGATGATACTACCTTGGCACCTAAATCCTCAGAGAGAGTACAGGGACTAGCAAGAGCATATCTAACTTGTGCTATACATCAATTGAATTTATGTGGAAAGTTCTCTGACAGGGCCTGGTGCCTTTGGAAGCCCTGTATAGTTAAAATATAATATTAGTAAAACAGATAAATAACATATATAAACAAAACTAATAATAAATGGAAAGGGATCTAATAAATTATTTCAGCCATGCCCTATGCTTTCTTCATTATCAAAGAAAAAGGGAATGGAAAGTATTCTTTCATGTAGCTAGCGTAAGATGGATTTTCTTTCCCTAATCAATGAACCAAAGAGAAACAGAAGCTACAGAGAGAGTCCAAAGCAAACACAGTGATAAACATTTTCAAAGAATGATTTAAATATCAAAGTTCACTAGGAACATGTAAAAACTGCCCCTCCCCAATTACAAATGAGATTAAATAACAAGCTTGTATAAGTTCAATTTTTTAACTGAAATGTCGACAGGCCACTTGAGAACGTGCAGGTGGGTAGGTCAACTGGGCTATTTCTGTTTTCCTTCTGGTGGTCCAGGGGTACCTATGGCCACCGTGTTTTGATCACTTACTAAGTGGCAGGTGCTGCCTAAGTGCTTGTCCCTCCTAGATGTCCGTGTCTCTGTGCAGACTCCCCATTCCCACTGGATTCCTTTTCTGAGGGGGTGGGGATGGGAGGATGCACGGGGCATGGCAGTTGTCAGCGTTTCGGGTGCTCCCCAGACACAAGAATCCTGGCCCTTAAAAAGAATTGATTTTAAAGCCTAGACCTTACTGCTCCGGAGCGGTGCAGAAGGAAAGCCCCGGGAACCCCGGGTGTCGTTGGGAAGGACAGGAGGACTCGGTCGGCGATCGGGGAGCGGCGCCCCAGTTCCGGCTTGTCGGAGGAGCGCGCACTAACAATGAGAAGCGGCGGTCGGGGCGAAGGGGGCTCTCCGCCTGGACCCGAGGCTGCGCGTGCGGTGTAGGGTTGGTGCTCCTTCCTAGACCTTTCCGAGCGGCCCCTCCTCGTCCTGGCCTCGGCGAGGTCCCGGCCTGGGGCCAGGCAGCCCCGCGGGCCTTGACCCGCGGAGCAGCGGGCTCGGGGGGCGGGCGGCGGCGGGACGAGCGGGCCGGTGGCGGCGGCCGCGCCTTCATTAGAGGGCGCTATGGGGGCGGCTCCGCCGCAGTCGACTCCCGCCGCTTCCTCCCCGCCGCCCCTCCCCACCAGCCCGGCGAACGCGGCCGTGCCGTGGGGACCAGGCTCCGCGCCGCCAGGGACGGGCGCCCGCCGCGCCGCAGCCGCAGCGGGGCCGGGTCCCGCCGCCGCCTCCTTCCGCCGGCCGCGCCGCCGGCCATGCATTCTTCCGGCTCGCCTGGCTGCCGCAGCCCGGGCCGGGGCCCGGCCAGCCCGAGGTAAACTCCGGCTCGGCGGGCGCAGGCCCCGGGCTGCGGGGGCGCCGGGCCTGGGGAAGCGCCGGGGGCCGGGGGGGTGTCGTCGTCGTGCGGCCGGGGAGGCGGCGGCGGCGGCATGAGGGACCTAGGGCGCGGTAGGCCCCGAGGAGGAGGCGGGAGCGCGGGGCGTCCGCCCGCCTCTCCGGGACCCGCCCCGGTGACAGGTCCGGCCTCTGAGTCCTCGCCGTCCCTCTGTCCGCAGGCAGCCGCGAGGGCAGTAGGGCGCCCGCTCGCGCCGCGCCTCGGCCGCCGCCGTGTCCATGACCGCGACCCCTCGGCCGGGGACACACGCCGCCGCCGCCGCCGCCGCGCATTCGCGCGCCCCGGGCCGCCGGTTCCCGGCCCCGCTCGCCCCCGCGCCCCCGCGCCCGCCGGCCGCGCACGCCGAGGTGAGCCGAGCACGCGGGCCGAGACCGCCGCCCGACCCCGTCCTCCTCCGCGGACTCGCCGTGGGCTCCACCCGCCGGCTGAGCGCAGTCGTCGCCTCTGCTCCCCGCTGCTCTCATCATCCCCGCGGCCGGCCCTGCGGTCCGAGACTGAGTCCCTCCATCCCTGTTCCCCTCCCCTGCCTCCTCTGCCTTCGGGCCCCTGCCCCTGCCCCCGTCCTTCGCCCCTTCTGCCTTCTTATCTCCCACCTCCTTCCTCTCACCTTTCTGCCCCGTTTCTAGGCCCCTCTCCTGTTTCTTAAAAAGGAAAACAAAACCCCCCTTCTCCGCAAATGGACATTTTTAGCGGAACCCCGCATGCTCATCGGAGAGACCGTGGCAGGACGGAATCAGTGTGCGGGGCTGGTGGAGGGGCACCCGTCACGGAATCGGGGGTCTGAGCGAGGGGTTTCAGCCCTCTGGCCACTCGTGTCCTCAGCTTGGAGACCCTGAGGGTGTCTGAGCAAGTGGGTCTGCTTGTCTTCCGCCAAGTCCAGCGGAAGACCGCGGGGCACGCGGCGCCGGGACGGCCGGCCAGTCGGTGGGAACGGCAGTATCCTTGGCTAAATATATTATGACATACCCTGTGCCTCTGTGAGCAGCTCCCTTGACCTTGTGCGGCTCCTCCCCCCTCGCTCTCTGCCCCCCTCTGGAATTTCCCGGGGAGGTCGCGGCGGCACGACACCGGGAAGGCTTGGACCCTCCAGGCTCTCTTATTTTGGTGCTGGAGACGATTTCTGCGGTGGTGACTGTTTAGAGGTGTTGACTCCGTTTCCCTTTTTAAATGAGTTTTCCTCTCTCCGCAGAAAGGCAGGACGGACTCCAATGTGAGAATGGCTGTGACTTTGGAAGAGGCTCCGTGGCTGGGCTGGATCTTGGTGAAAGCCCTAATGAGGTTTGCCTTCATGGTCGCCAACAACCTGGTTGCAATTTCATCGTACATCTGCTATCTGATCGTACTTCAGCCCCTCCGAGTGCTGGACAGTAAGCGCTTCTGGTATATTGAAGGAATCATGTATAAATGGCTTTTAGGCATGGTGGCTTCTTGGGGATGGTATGCTGGATATACAGGTAAGAATGAGAGCACTTTTGTTTAATGTGTGAAGGAATACGTAATGTTATGCTTGGCTCAGGAGCCATGATTAAATATATATTATACTTTGGGTTGACGTTGCTTTTATGCTTTGAGTGCTGAAAAAAATAGATGGAAAACAATTCTATTGAGTGTTTCTTTAGAATCCCAATTAATAAGGATGTTGTCAGAAGTATAATTTCATAATTGTGTATTGATAAATTCCTTCAGTAATAAGTTACTTAGGTGAATTACATTTAGTGAATCAGGTCTGCAAAGCCCTCCTAGAGAGTGTGTTATATAGAACTTGAGGGCTTATAAAATGAAGAGGGAAGATATTTAGCTCATAAACATTGGGCATTTAGAAAAATGAACCGTATTTGTGCTGAGATAGCTTAATATAGATTTTTTGAAATTTAATGTAGTATTGTACTGCTAACATTATACGCCAAACAAAAAATGACTTTCTTTTCTGTTTGTACGTTTCTTTTGCTTACTAGAATCTGTTTTATCTCATAAATCTGTTTATTAAGTATAAAAATTAAGTTTAATATATGTTAAGCTAATTTATCTTCTGTGTCTCTAAGTACATTTTTTTTTTTTTGGCCTTTAAATTGCATTTTGGGAAGCAGGAGTAAGGCTGCTCTAAACTGGGCTTTTAGGGAACTATATGAGAAGTAGTATTTATTTTCTGTTTTGAAGCCTTATGTGCTTTGAGAACTTGTACCTATGCTATGAAAATTCTGGATTGTGTGTTATATTTATTTGACTTTCCCTTCCCCTAAGAATTAGGATGATGAAAAAAGCAGTGAGGTTTCTAGCACGTGTCTTAGACATTGAGGCTTTTATCTTAGAATTTTATAACTGATAGGCTCCTTAGAGATCACGCTGTATAGATGCTGTGGTCAGTGGAGTCTGTAGTTTATAGCTTGGAAGAGTGAGGAGGGTACTCTCAGGGTCAAACAGCATAGCAGTTCCCCATTTTAAATTCTCTGTCTCCCTCTTTTCCTGCCCAGGCTGCACCTGCAGATTTTATCCAGACACATGAGAAAAGGACTGACAGCACCCAGCCTTTGTGGAGTCTGACAGACTCTTGCTAGGTCAGAGTGCTCTCAGTTGCCCCAGATGAAGCCTTTTCTCCTCCTGGCAATGCAATTTATTATTCTGGAAGACCTGAAGCCCCTGGGTTGTGTATGCATTGCTTCCTTGTCATGTGTCTTGTTGAGATCCTAATGCTTTTTGGATGTAGTAGGTGAGCTTCTAGTCCTTTTATAGGACCTCATGGTAGCAGTAGTGGTGATAGAGAAAAAATGAAGCTCTCATCTGTGGTGTTGAATATTTACCTGAATTACACGGCTATTTTAGAATTGCTTTGCTCTATATAGTTTGAGCTTCTTCAGAGAGCCTATGTAGTGCTATTGGCTTTGTATAGTATACTTAAGTTGCTTCTTTTAAATGAGCCGATAATGTTTTTAGATATGTTTCAGAGGTTCATTCTACTTAAACATGATGCAATTACTGAAATATTTGTGCTTGTGTGTGTGGTATATTTGTGTATAAATGTTAGCATGATGAGAAGCTGAAAAAACTTAATTTGGCGTTGACCTTGAGATTGTAAAGAGTGCAATTATAAGTGCTGCTTGAAGTTAGAGTTAGTTATCCTGTGGCCACAGCATGGTTGCAGTGTATTTTTAAGCATATTTTCTTGGGGTGTCTCTTCCTTGCTTTCTATAGAACTGCACAGTTTCTTTTGCTACCTTGGAAAGTGATCTTGACATGATCTGCATATTTTGGTCTCTCTGAAGCATCTTCTCTCTTCAGGCTATTGCATTTTGACCGTTTGATCAGTTAATGTCATTTAAGAATAGAATGTTTTAGTGTTTATTTTAAATGGTTTTTCGATAGGTAGAATCCTTTTAGAGGGTCTGGTCATGGTTTGATCATGACAGAACACACTTAAGAGATCAAACGTAGGAATGACATTCATTGAAAGCTGCAACTAGGTCTAAAGAAGCAAACATAAGGCCCTGACCGGTTTGGCTCAGCGGTTAGAGCGTCCACCTGCGGTCCGGAGAGGCCCGGGTTCGGTTCCCGCTAGGGGCATGTACCTCGGTTGCAGTTTGTCCCCGGCCCTGGTTGGTCGTGCGGGTGGCAGCCACTCGATGTGTCCCTTCACATTGATGTTTCCCTCTCTCTCTCTCTTCCTCTCTCTCCCTCCCACTCTGTACAAAAAAATGGAAAAATGTCCTCGGATGAGGATTAAAAAAAAAAAAGAAGCAAACATAAGCAGGGATTGATGAGCAGATGTACCCATAAAATCATCGAGGACAGTGATTTTCAACCTTTTTCATCTCATGGCACACATAGACTAATTACTAAAATTCTGTAGTACACCAAAAAAATATATAATATTTTTTGCCTATCTGACCAAAAAAATAGGCATAATTTTTATTTATTCACATCGGATGGTCTTGTCATTTTTTAATTTGACAATCTAAGGGAAAAGAGGTCAGTGCTCCTGACTAGTCAGGTATTGCATATTTTAAAAATTCTTGTGGCACACCAGTTGAAAATTGCTAGTCCAGGAGGTCAAATTAACCTTTGTATGAATTTTTGTGTTTCATTTCTTTCTTCCCTTTGTATCAAGAGGGGGATGGGCTTAAGTTGGTTTTTTTTTTTCTTTTCTCTGTACTGAAGTTTCACAGATGGAAAATTGAACATTGCCCAAGGAATTCTGCTCAGGAGGCTTAGTCTCTTCATTGTTTAGAATAAAAATTGCCAAACTTTGTTGAAAAACCATTTCCGAGGAAATCTTAAATGTGAATTAATTAAATATTAATTAGGAAGCTGAAAAGTGAATATTGGTTTAGAATATACTTTTTTCAAAATGTGGCATTCAGTCTAAGACAAGTCAGTTACACAGCTCTGCTGCCAAGGACTTACGTTGCTTTTCAATCCTACACTGCCCTGTATGGTAGTTTCTAGCCTATGTGGCTTTTTAAATTTAAATTAATTAAAATGAAGTAAAATTTTAAATTCAGTTTCTTAGTCACACCAACTACATTTCAAGTGTTCTGTACTAGATGGCTAGTCGCTACAGTATTGGACAGTGCAGATATAGAACACTCCCATCATCACACAAAGTTCTGTTGGACAGAGCTGATAGTCAGTATGACTTTCTCCTTTTTCTTAGGAAAAATGCATTTTATCTTTATAAAATAATATTTTTCTAAACATAGTTTTAAATAGGTTTCTTTTAGGAAAAACAGGAAGATTTATTCAAGGTTTTTAAAAAAATTGTCTTTAATTTGAGGCAAATGTCACAAAAATGAGTCCTCTAAACTCAGACATGCTTCTCAGATGGGAAATGATGAGTCTAGTAAGCCCAAGAACTTGAATGAACATTTTTGTATTTAATTTGCATGCTCAGAGCAGGAGAGCCTATGGGCACAAAAGATGGAGAGGGGTTTTCTAGATTTTTTGCTGTTTTCTGACTTTACATCTTGTTAGGGGAACACAGTTCTTCTTTAAATATATTTTTATTTCTTTTTTAAATGTTTTTATTGATTTTTAGAGAAAGAGGAAGAGAGAGAAAAACATTGATGTGAGAGAGAAACATCCATCAGTTGCCTCCTGTACATGCCCTGACCAGGGATTGAATCTGCAACCTAGGTATGTGCCTTGACCGGAAATCAAACCTGAGACCTTGTGGTGTACAGACGATGCTTCAACCAACTGAGCCACCCGGCCAGGGCTATTTTGTTTTAGACAGAGAGAGAGGAAGAGTGAGAGAGAGAGAGAGAGAGAAACATTGACAATTTGTTGTTTCACTTATTTATGCATTTATTGGTTGTTTCTTGTATGTGCCCTGACCAGGGATCAAACCTGCAACCATGGCATATGGGAACGACACTAACCAACTGAACTACCTGGCCAGGATGTGAGGGGAAAAACAGCTCTTTTTTTTTTTTTAATCCTAGCCCGAGGACATTTTTCCATTTTTTTGTTCAGGTAGAGTGGGAGGAAGAGAGAGAGAGAAACATCAATGTGAGAGAGACACATTGAGTAGTTGCCACCCACACAACCCAACCAGGGCCAGGGACAAACTGCAACCGAGGTACGTGCCCTTAGCGGGAACCAAACCCGGGACTCTCTGGTCCGTGGGCCGACGCTCTAACCGCTGAGCCAAACTGGCCAGGGCAGGAAAACAGCTCTTAAAAGAGCTCTGAGTACTTGGCGTTTGTTTGTTCATCTCTAGCTTGAGACTAAATAGTGATGCTTGTTGGTACCACATTTCCTTTAGTGGGAAGTGCTGTAGAAACATCTCATGTTGAGGAAAACATGTGTGCTGCCTTTGCTCTAATATTTCAAGGGCACACCAAAAGAGATACTAGCCTAGTGAATGATCCACTTCTGCATGCTTTGTTCAGATCTGTGATAAATCAGTATACTTCCCCTCCCCCAACTTAAATGAAGATTGGAAAATTTCAGAGAGAGATTTTTTTTTATCCTCACCCAAGGACCTTTTTTTCCCATTTTTTTGTTCAGACAGAGTGGGAGGGAGAGCGAGGAAGAGAGAGAGAGAGAGAGAAACATCAATGTGAGAGAGACACATCGAGTGGTTGCCACCCACACGATCCCAACCTGGGCCGGGGACAAACCTAGACCCAGGTGTCTAGAGCAGGCCAGTGCTCTAACCACAGCAAAACCGGCCAGGGCAATTGTTTTTTTTTAATCTTCACCCAAGGATATTTTTTCCATTTATCTCTAGACAGAGTGGAAGGGAGGGAGAGGGGGAGAGATAGAGAGAAACATCGATGTGAGAGAGACACATTGATTGGTTGCCTCCCACAGGACCCCAACCAGGGCCAGGGATGAACCACAACTGAGGTATATGCCCTTGGCTGGAATCGAACCCACGACTCTTTGGTTCACGGGCCTATGTGCTAACTACTGAGCCAAACCGACCCAGGGCAGAGAGAGATATTTTTAATAGTTC